CCTTTGCCCCCGGGCCCGTGCTGACTGTCCTGCTGGTGCAGGGGCTCTACGAGGAGTGCCAGTATCTCTTCCAGCCACAGCTCATTGTGCAGCGCCTGGTGAACATTGCTGTGCTGTACCCTGGATATGTCACCGAGCAGAGCATGGGCCCCCACAACCGCTCCTGCCTCTACAAGTGAGTACAAGAGGGTCTCCTAAGGAGGGGCATCCCCAGGGCGGGGAGCTTAGGGTGCCCCATCCCTCTGGCTTGCCTCCCAGCCCCATTGGTCCCGCTGAGGGGCAAGATCTGACACCACTGTCCCGCAGGGTGTTTGTGCCCAGCTACACATCACGAGTGCTGGTGGAGGTGCTGCGGTGCCACGGGGCCGAGGGCTGCCCGCTCTGGCTGCGTGTGCGGGCCAAGGCTCCCCCTTTGCACAACTCCACAGCGCTGGACTGCCGGGAGCACGCTCCCTGCCAGCTCGCACTGGACCTGCCCTTCTGGCAGCACTGGTACTATGTGCTGGTCGCCCCACACTGCGCAATGAACTGGACACCTTCTCCGTCCACTTCTACATCTTCTTTGGGCCCAACGTGTCAGTACCACCCGACCGCCCCGCTGTCTTCGTCATCAACCTCCTGCCGGTGCTGGATAGCGGTGGGGTGCTCAACCTGGAGCTGCGGCTCAATGTGGTAAGGTGCACACACTGTGCCCTGGATGGGGCAGGGCAGCCCGGAGGGGATGGGCTGGGAGGTGGGTGGTGTCAGGGTGAGGGACAGCATTTGGGGTGCTCTTGGGTCATGGGTCATGGTTTGGGAGCTCTTGGGTGATGGAGCACAGATTAGGGTGTTCCAAGGGCAGGGTGATGGCCTGGATTTGGGGTGTTGTTGAGTGATGGAGCACAGATTAGGGTGTTCCAAGGACAGGGTGATGGCCTGGATTTGGGGTGACGCTGGGTGATGGGCAGTGGTATAGGGCAGTGCCAGGTGGTGTGCTGTGATCTGGGTGCTGTCAGAGCAGGGGACATCCCCAGCACTGGCTTAGGTCCATCTCCTCCTCTGCTGTCAGAGCTCCCTGTGTGGCGAGAACGTGACAGTGTTCGGGTGTCTGAATCACGAAGTCCCGCTGACATCTGGTGACAACGCATCGGTCACCTGCGAGACAGGTAGGCTGGGCTGTGCACGTCCATCCTGCCGTGGCCATGGGGATCGTACCCGCCGTGTGTCCAGTGAGGGGCTGGGTGGGAGATGGCAGAGACCATAGGTGCATCTACCCATGGAGCCTGGCACAGGGTGCTCTGTCCTTGTCCCAGACTGCCCAGGGGAAGGGTCTCCCCCCTGCCCTGCTCACGCAGAGCCCTCCCTGCCCACAGAGTCCCTGGCAGGATTCCTGCTCTCCGTTAACGCCACGGCCAGCCTCAGCCGCCTGCGGATCCCCTACCCCCAGACGGGCAGCTGGTACCTCAGCCTGCGCTCGCTCTGTGCCACGGAGCATGGGTAAGAGCCCCGGGGATGTCACCACCGCGGCCGGCACCCACGTGCACTGCGGGTCCGTGGGTGTGCCTGGCCCCCTGCGCCTCGTGTCACCGCTCACGTGCGCGCGCGTGGCTTCGTGGGCTGTGTCGTGGTGCGAGTGCCTGCGTGGGCACGGATAGCTCTGCCTTGAGCCTGCCTGACCGTCTGTGGGTCCCTGCGGCTCTTCCCTCCGCCTCTCGCCTGGGAAGCGCCTGTCAGCTTGCGAACGCCGTGCTTCTGTTGGTGCCTGCCCATCTGTACCCGTGCCTGGGAGGGGACCGGGCTGTCACTGCAAGGACAGGGCTTGGCTGGGCAGAGCCGGGCAGGCTGCTGTGCCCCTGCTCTGCTCAGCATCTCCAGGGACAGGTCCTGTGCCCGCAGCTTTGCTCCCGGCCCTGCCTGAGGGCCCTGCGGAGCAGAAGGGCTGTCGCGTGCGCGCGTCTGTACGTGCAAGAGTCCACGCGGGGCTCTGTGCCGTGCAGGCGGTGCCGCGTGCGTGTTCGGTGCGTGCAGGCAGACAGCTGTGGGTGCTGGGTGCGTCCGTGGGGATGGTGCTGCACGCACGTGTGTCGCACGGACGCAGAGAGCACCGCGCGTGTGCCCGGGTTTGTGCAGCCAGGCAGGGCGGCGCGTGTTCTGCGCACGCGTGGGCGCAGATTTGGCCGTGTGAGCACACGCGGGGACAGCGGATGGTGCTGTGTGCGTGTTGGGCTGCCCGTGTGTGCAGGGAGCCGCTGGTGCGTGGTGTTGGGACGCGGGGCCGTCTGCGCTGCTGCCGAGGCGCTGGCTGTGCGCAGGGCCCTGTGCGTGGGTGGCGTGGGACAGGGCGGGTGCTGTGCCTGCTCTGACCTCCTCCACCCGGCATTGCCAGCTGCAGTCGGTCCTTCCCCAACGCGGTCACACGCAGGCACTTCAGGGCACGGCGTTTGCACGGCAAAATCCAAACAAAACAGGAGTCGGCTGAATGTGGCAAAGCTGATCTAAGCACAGCCGCGTTTCTCCTGCTCGCCCAGCCTGGCACGGACAATTGCAGCACACGGGATCCTTGGGGACCATCTCTCAGCTGCCACTTGTAGCACCAGAGCAGCTCATTTCCGCGCTCGCCCTGTCCCTGGGTCTCCCATCACCGTCCAAGTCTGGGTGTGATGAGTGCCTCTGGCAGGAGCTGCCCGAGGGGCGCAGGACGAGGGCTGACCCCCTTCTCCCGTGCCACAGGTTCGAGCCCTGCACCAATGTGACGGCCGAGGTGTACCTGCGCGCCTACCTCTCGCCCTGCATCAACGACTGCGGCATCTACGGCCAGTGCAAGCTGCTGCGCACCAACAACTACCTGTACGCTGCCTGCGAGTGCAAAGCTGGTGAGACATGCCCCGGGGACCCACGGTGCCCACTGCGCCCAGAAAACCCCCCCGGCATCCTCCCCTCCTCCCCAGGGGTTGTGCACCCCACTAGTCCCCCTGTGGCAGCTCTCCACAGGGCGCTGGGAAGGGGCTTCCTCCCCTGCCCCTGCGAGTGCTGCAGGGGTGACAGCAGCTCTCCCCGTCCACAGGCTGGGACGGCTGGGGGGGGGCACGCAAAGC